CTCTTAGTAGCGACAGGGTTTTACCATATTGGCCAGGCTGGTCTTGAACTCCTGACCTAAAGTCATCCACCAGTCTTTGGCCTCCAAAAGTGCTGGGATTATAGGTGTGAGCCACTGCCCAGCCTAGAGAAAATTTCAAAACTATATAAACACAAAAATTAAACAAAATATGCTTATGTGGCCAATGGGTGAAAGAAGACATTAAGAAGAAAATATAAAAATGTATGAAACAAATAAAATAGAAACACAACATACCAAATCTTATGGCACTTATCCAAACCAGTATTATGAGGCAAATACATAGCAATAAATGCCCACATCAAAGAAGCAGAAATATTTTAAATAACCATCATAATAATGCATCTCAGAGAACTGTAAGAACAAGAAAAGGCTAAACTCAAAATTATTTTAAAAAACAACAAAGAACAGATTAGACATAAACAGAATTAAGACTAAAAATACAAGAAAATATTAAAATAGCAAAAAAGATAAGCAAAGTTGAAAGTCATTAGTAGCTGGACTAACAAAAAAAGAATATATATATATATATATATATATATATATAGAGAGAGAGAGAGAGAGAGAGAGAGAGAGAGAGAGAGAGCTATGACCCAAATAAAAAAAAGAAGCAGAAGATGCCTCAACTGATATCCCAGAACAAAATAAATTAAGAAGTACTATAATAAATAAGTCTATGTGATAAATTTGAAAACCTAGGGGAATTGGATAAATTCATGGCCACATACTACCTCACAAGATTAAAAAAGAAGGAATAGAAAGCCTGAACATACCAATAAAAAGAAATCAGATGGACTTAGGTAAAAGACCTACATCCTGTTGAACATGAATTTAAAAATCTAAAAATATAGCACACCAAACAGTATTTCAAATAATAATAATAATAATGCACCATGACCAAGTGGGATTCAACCCAGCAATTCAATTACACTTCAACATACACAGTCAAAAAACATGATATATCACATGTATAGAATGAAGGATAAAAACCATATTTCTATATTAATAGATGCAGAAGATGAAAATTCAACATCTCTTCATGGAAAACAACTCTCAATTATGCACAGAAATAAAGAACAACACAATAAAGGCCACATGACAAGTCCATAGCTAACATAATACTTAACAGAAAATAATTCTTTTCTTTTGAAAACTGGAAAAGACAAGGATGCAAACTCTCAGCACTTATTCAACACAGTACTGAAAGTACTCGAGAAACAAGGACATCCTCCCATGGAAATGCAAGAAAACAAAACAGACGTGGACACCCAGAGACAGAACTCATTAGACCTGGTGAAGAATAGATAAAAATCTCTTTCAGAGCCTCCAGTGTTCCCAGCTAAACATGAATTTTGGTGATAGGCTGAAAATAAGAAGGAGAAGGGAGACATGACTTAAGACAGGAGAAACCCTAAGACAGCAGAAAGCAAATCTACACAGAACAATCACAGGGCAGATGCCAGAGTGGGCTGAAACAGGAGCTGCATTCTATTGGGTACCTAGTGGAGACCCTTTGACATTTCTTGTGAGGTAATTCTAGAGATGATTAATTTCTTCAGTATTTCTTTGCCTGGGAAAGTATTTATCTATCTTTCATTTCGTAAGAAGTGTTTTATCAATTATATGTTCTTGGGTGGCTGTTTTTTTTCCCCCCAGAAATTTAAATACAGTTATGCTCTGTATAACAAAGTTTCTGGTAGTAACAGATGGCACAAACAACGGTGGTTCCACAATAATACGCTTCCTTATTTATCGATACATTTTTTATGTTTAGATAAACAAATACTACTGTGTTACCATGGCCTACAGTATTCACTACAGTTGTTTTGGGATCACTGGGGTGTTGCTTTTTCTGCCCAGAATCCTCCGTGGCCAGTGGCGACTTTGCCTCAGTTCGTGTCCTACATCTGGAAAGAATGAGGTATGCAGCCATGTGGAGGGTGAACAAGACAAAGACTAGCTTCATGAAGCATTAGAGCCTCTCAGAGGAGACCTCCAGTGACTAGCTCCTCTCTGCAGGCAAGTTGACCGGTTGAGTGTTCAGCTGTCAGCAGAGAGGGTAGCTCCTCTCCACAGCTGGTCATCCTGTGGTCTTCCCAGTTCTCAGCAGAGAGGGTAGCTCCTCTCCAGAGCTGGTCTTCCTGTGGTCTCTCCATCCTCTGTCCTGCTCTGGCTGAGCCCGGGGGTTTCTAGGGACCTCCGAGGGAAGGAAGTGCGTGCCCACTGGTCCACGGGTGGTCATGGGTGGGCCATAGAAGGCACCACAAGTCCCGACTCTGGTCTGCGGATCTGGGAGCCCGGGCCCAGCCTTCAGGCCTTCAGGCCCTTCCTAGGGACCCGCCCCCTGTGCCCAGGAATCTTCCTGCCTCCTGCTGCTGTTCAAGGCCCATGGGGCTCCCCCTGACTTTCTCCCAAGATCAGAGCAGGCGCCAACAGCAGGAAGAAGCCAGGAAGTGGGAGCAGGCACTTCGGAACATACAAGAGCAGACTTTTTCCTGGGGACCCCAAGACTGCAGGGAGGCCTGAGGCTGCAGCCCCCGGTTTGCAGGGGCAGGGCTTCTACCTGCTCCGTGGAGGGAGAGGCCCGTGGCTTCAGACACGGTTTCGGTGGCTGCAGCAGCACCCAGGAGCGCAGGGCTCCTGCCTGTTCCCCGACCTCCGAGAGCACAGAGGCCGAGTCTACTGCCCTGACTGGGGCAGCTGGAGCCGCACCTGAGCGGTCAGGGCTGCTGCCTGCTCCTGGCTCCCACCGGCTCCGTGGAGCATCAGCGCCCTCTGCCCCTCCTCGCAGCCTGGGCAGGGGCTCCTGATCCTCGCTGGGCCCTGGCCGGTGTCCAGGGCAGGGGTGACATCTCCACAAACTCTCCCCATTGCCCCGGTGCCCAGGGAGGCCTGGCAGAGCTGATCACTACCCCGGCCAGTGGTCGGGAGTGGCAGCCTCCGTGGTCACCCTGCCATGAGGCAGACCCCTGGGGATGCGGCCCGGGCAGCCGTCCAGAGCCTGCCGAGGCCCAGGAACCCCCGCACCCTTGGCGGGGTGGGCACAGTGGCTGCTGCCCGGGTTTGCAATGTGGTGCCATTTCCTTTTCCCTCGCTGGGACCCCGAAGTTTGACGTGGGGGTTCCTTTCTGCTTTGCTGCGCGGCTCCGCTTCCCCTGGGGTAGAGCCCCCCATTTCTCCAGGTGTTCCCTCCCCCAGCTCCGGTGTTCTCCGTGGGTGTCTCCACCTCCCAGATCTGCTGCCCTGCCCCGCCCTGCAGACTAAGGCTCTGATTCCCTAAGAGAGGGGAGCTGCTTCCCGGTAGGACTTTGGTGGGGATCTGTCTTCCCACCTCATTTTCTGAGGGGTTAAACCAGGGCCTTTACGTTACTGGTTTCGGTGGTTTGCCCCGTTGAGTAATTTCTTGGTTCTGTAGGGGGTGTAAGAGACTTGGCTCTGGAAGCATTTCAGAAGTGTGAGCTCAGATACACCCCAGACAAACACTCTGGGAAGGGAAAATTTTTGTGGCTATTCTCATTATAAGGGAAAGGCATTCAAAAGAATAGAAAAACTCTTCAGTATGTGTTCCCTGAGAATTTCACACTAAAAACATGCTTACCACACTCAACTCAAAGCACTTCAATGTATATTAGTGTATTTTATCTTGTACTAGCCTACTAGCCTGTATTTCATTTGGTGAACTCTGCCTCAGTTCAGCTCACACCCTCGCTTTGATTCTCCCTACAAGAACTTGTCTCTCTCTAGATTTCAGGTTTGTTGATTGTCTTAAAATTTCAGTGATTCGAAATATTAAAGACAATTTGCAAAAGTCCATTTTCTCTGTTTAACAGTTATTGTTCATTTTATTGTTGTTGTAAAAAAAAGAAATTCTCATCTATGTACATTTCAAATCTGAATAACAAAATTTTTAGTAACACCAAAAGTAATAAAAGAATCCAAATATTGATCAGCTGCCTGATAGAAAAACAAATTATGGTAACTTTGTTTACTGGAATACTACCCATCATTCATAATAAAAGAACAACCAATATACACAATAAGAAGATTAAATTATCAAGTATTTAAATTGAGTAAAATAAGCCAAACGAATAAGAGTATATATGATTCTATTTTTTAAAATTCTGGAAAATGAAAACTGATGTAAAGGAATATAAAGAAGATTAGCAGTTGCCTGGGAATATGTTGGCAGAAGGGAAGGAGAAAGGATAAGGAAATAGAAACAGGAAGTAGAAGGACAGAAAAGAAGTTGAGGGAATTTCACTTGTCCACCTTCTTTATCATGGTAATAGTTATGTAATGATGATCAATTTTACACTTTAAATATGTAAAGTTTATAATCTGTCAGTCAAATATTATAAAATTTATTATGTGGGGACAAGTTGAAAATTAGACAATGTAGGAGTGACAGAAAGATAGATACCAGTATTTTAAATGTCAGAGATACCTGAAAATTTATCTACCTGAACCCTAGTTCTCTCCATAGTTTAAGGTAAACAGGAGAGCACAGCAAAATCACAGATATTCTGATTAGGCAGTGGCTTCTGCAAACCACACTAGGCATGTCCAGCTCTGTCCTGCAGTTGGCTAAAGGAGGAGTCAGGGCCAGTGGTGAGAAGCGCAGGCCCAGATACCAGACATGATCTCTTAGGTACATACGGAGCCCATCCATGTGTGGGTTTACTTTACATCTGTAAATAGAGAACATTGACTCCTACAGAACATAATTTACACGCATAGGTGAATCTGAAATAAGGCGATCAGTGCAAAGGTTTTATCACAGCACAGTTTCATATTAAGCACACTTTCTCGAATCCCATTGTTGTCATCCATCTTCTCCTCACGACACTTTCATCTGCTCTGGGACCTGCCCTCTCCTCAGGTGTCCAACCCCAGAGCTTGCTATATAGTAGGAGTTATGCAAATAGGGCCCTCCCCCTGCTGATGAAAACCAGCCAAACCCTGACCCTGCGGATGTGGGAGAGGAGCCCCAGCCCCGGGATTCCCAAGTGCTTCTGCTTGCTGATCAGGACTGCACACAGGACTCACCATGGAGTTGGGCTTGAGCTGGGTTTTCCTTCTTGCTATTTTAGAAGGTGATTGACGGAAAACTAGAGATACGGAGTGTGAATGGACATGAGTGAGATAAGCAATGGATTTGTGTGGCAGTTTCTGACCAGGGTGTCTCTGTGTTCGCAGGTGTCCAGTGTGAGGTGCAGCTGGTGGAGTCTGGGGGAGGCTTGGTACAGCCTGGGGGGTCCCTGAGACTCTCCTGTGCAGCCTCTGGATTCACTTTCAGTAGCTACTGGATGAACTGGGTCCGCCAGGCTCCAGGGAAGAGGCTGGAGTGGGTCTCAGCTATTAATAGTGACGGGAGTAGCACAAGCTACGCAGACTCCATGAAGGGCAGATTCACCATCTCCAGAGACAACGCCAAGAACTCGCTGTATCTGCAAATGAACAGTTTGAGGGCTGAAGACACAGCTGTGTATTACTGTACTACAGACACAGTGAGGGGAAGTCAGCGTGAGCCCAGACACAAACCTCGCTGCAGGGCATCTGAGACCACGAGGGGGTGTCCTGGGCCCTGTGAACTGGGCTGTTCTCTGTGGCAGGGGCTGGTGGTGCTAAAGGCTGACTTTCTCTCAGCATCTGGGGCTGCCTCATCATCAAGTTTCCTCAGAGACCCTTTCAGATTTACAATTCTGTACTCACACTTAATGTCTCTGAATGTGACACTTTTCCCCCCGATGTTTCTTTGCTTTTGTGACAAGAGGACACATTCTCACCACCACGGAAGCCTGAGTGTCACTTTGGGCACAGAAATGACCCTCCTTGGTCACCAGAATCAGAGTCCCGAGGAAGCTCAGGGGAACCTGGGGAGTGTTTTCCAGTCAGACTCAGGGCAAAGACCTCCATGAGAATCTCTGATTGGAACAGGCTTTTGGGTTCAGATTGGGACCAAGAGGGAGGTTCATCCATCCAGGGCCAGCGTCCTTAGAATCCTGACAGTTTTCACAGTAATCCCATCATCCTTTAAAACTGAACATTTGACTCAGAATTCATCCATTTGGTCCTTTCTCTGCTAATCAATTTTCCTTTTCTCTAGTTTTCATTCTTACACTTCCCTTTTCTCCTTTGTTCTTAAAATGGAAGGTGTGCTTCCTGTGGTCTAAACCGCAGGCCTCAGATACGTTACCTGGAACTCAGGTGTGGCTCAGGTTGTGGCTCCTGAGGACCTGGCAAGCTGAGGGGTCTTTCTCATTCCCGGTTGCCTGGATGCCCCTGCTGTCCTCTATGCATGGACGCATTTGGGGAACACAAGTGGACACTCCTAGTTGTGTCCTCAAATGGGACACTGATGTCGAGATGATCTTGTGCTTCTCACCCTGTCACAGAGCCCCCCCTCACCTGCGATTTTTGGGAGAGCTGAGGACGACTTTGTTGTGCTGCGAGCTCGGCGTGACAGCAATTGTGAGGTCTGACTAGGCACAGCCAGAGCCGGTGGAGCTGGCCATCAGGAAAGACAAACTGGAATTCCTGAGAAGCCCTACAGCTGCTGTCCACCATAGAGTTCCATCGTCTCCTCTTCTGCTAGGATTAAATCAAACCGAACAAGTTCATCTAGGACAATCTTCCTGACCTAGAGAAAAGTGATGACAGGCTTTAATAACACCTGTATTATATCATCGGAGCAACACCTATGTTAGTGTTTGATTGAATAACTGAGACTCTGTCCCAGTCAAGGTGACACACAAAATAGATTATTGCCAAGATTAATATTTCATATTGATTATTTTAATACTAACATTAATGCAATATTAATTTAATATAATTAATAGTTTGTATTTGACAATAGAATCAGACTCATGTTATAAATAATTTTGCTAAAATATGTGTATTATTATTCATCTTCTGAGCAGAAATCTCCAGTAGCCGATTAAGTTTGCATGCATTGGCCAAAGGAGGGCGTCCACCCTTTTGAGGGAAAATGCATGGAGGGTAAACGAGCCTGGGAAAGCCGACGGCATGTGATGGAAGCCTGTCCCTGAGTGAAGGTGAGAGGGAGGGAGGATTGGTCGGAACTTTCTTACATTTATGTGCTGTGCAAAGAAAGTCCAGATTATCACTGAGTTTTGTGCAAGTCAAAGTTGCCGCTCAGGAAACCCGCATGACTCCCAGCAATGGCTCCGCCTCAGATGAGTGCAGAGCTCACTCTGTTCCTAAGAATGGGGCACAGGATATGGGATTCAGCATGAGCCACATCACGGACGTCAGAGAGCAGCAGGTGGGTGCGTGATCCAAGCGCGTTGTTCTGCCCGTGGGTGCAGGGAGGAAGGCGCATTCTCAGAGCCAACATGCTGCGGATTTTCATACAGAATACACGTTTCCACATGACTGATAGGAAGGCATATGAAAAAATGTGCAGTCCACAAGCAATTGTAATTTTCAAATTTACCGCAATTGCATTATGTCTTCGTTCTGCGTGATGTCCTGGAACAGAGTTGCATTTTTCATGGGTGTTGTTTCACGGATTGAGAACACGAATTTCACATCTGCATTTTTTACCCATGTGCAGAGACCTTGAGTAGAGCATGTCTGGACCTTGTCTGCACTACGTCTCATGTCCCACGGGAAGGAGTGGAGACTTGACTGACTGCAAACTTTGTGGTAGGAGCTGCTCCTGCACACTCCTGCACACCTCAGGGCCTGCACAGACCCCAAGTGAAGTTTTATTGAGCTGGGTGTCTTCCTATGTGGGGGAATTATGGGCTGCCGCACTCCTGGTGATTGCTTGTCAGCTCTAAAGACGGGTTCAGAATGAGGTCACCTGGTAGCCTTTCTCACTGCAGCTCCATTATATAAATTACCACCATCAGATTCCAGGTAATAACACAAGTTCTATTTTTGTGACCTCATTTTCTTTTTTTTTTTTTTTTTTTGAGACGGAGTCTCGCTGTGTCGCCCAGGCTGGAGTGCAGTGGCCGGATCTCAGCTCACTGCAAGCTCCGCCTCCCGGGTTCACGCCATTCTCCTGCCTTAGCCTCCCGAGTAGCTGGGACTACAGGCGCCCGCCACCTCGCCCGGCTAGTTTTTTGTATTTTTTAGTAGAGACGGGGTTTCACCGTGTTAGCCAGGATGGTCTCGATCTCCTGACCTCGTGATCCACCCGTCTCGGCCTCTCAAAGTGCTGGGACTACAGGCTTGAGCCACCGCGCCCGGCCGTGACCTAATTTTCTTAACTTTTTTGTTCATAAGTTTGGTTATAGAAAATGTTACCACTTAGTTTCCTGATTCAAATCCGATAATTTGCTGAACTAATCAGGATTTTTTTTTTTTTTTAATGTGCTCAGTATTTGGGAAATATAAATGAACAGCCATGTATGGTTCACTGAGTGGACATAGTCAGTTAAGTACATTAGTAAAACACATGATTGCGGAATTATATAGTCAAACTACAATTAGATTTGCAGAAAGTTGCCTCCAGTAATGTCTGAGAAGGGAGGGCCCCCCAGCCAATCCCGTCTCTGGGCTTTGAGGAGGCTCCTACACAGGCGAGGTCACATGGGCGAGATCCAAGATGCAGCTCCCAGCCATTGCTGTGTTATTTTCCAGGAACCAGACATACACTTTGGCATCTCAGAAGCAGATCCCCAAGACTTCCTTTATCTGGGCTTCACGGGCAGCACAGGACCAGCAGGAGATGCTCAGAACTCACCCAACGCAGAGGCACAGTGAAGAGCAGGTGCAGAGAGGAACCAGCCAGGGAGCCTCTGACCACCATCTAGGGTCGTCTTATTTTCCTTCACAGCTTGGAGCCCTCAGGAGACCACCCACCATGTTGTTTATAACTCAGGTCCCCCTATCTTGAAGCAAAACAGACATAAATATGACTCTGCAGTTAGCTCCTTGAACCTGGGTCAATTTTTTCTGAGAATGCCAACTTAATCGTCAATATCATGGGCATTATGTCAAAATCAAGATGGATATTTAGTCACCAGGAAGACAGTTTGTCTCATGGTAGAAATGCTTATTCAATTAAAAATTACGTTTTATGGAAAAGGTCTCTAAGTGAGGACTGGTCAAATAATAAAGTATTAGTGAAGTATCAGAAAAATAATGGCACCATTATCTTGGCATCCAATTAATCTGTAAAGCTTATCAATATTCATGTTGTAAGTGGTCTAGGAAAAGTTATAGCAGTATTTAGGCTATAAGAAGACAGTGCTTTACTTCTTAGATAGGAATGTCCTTTTTTATCATAGTTTAAGTTCTGGGGTACATGCACAGAATGTGCAGGTTTGTTACACAGGTATACATATGCCTTGGTGGTTTGCTGCACCCATCAACCTGTCATCGACATTAGGTATTTCTCCTAATGCTATCCCTCCCCCAGTCCCCCACCCCCAAACGGGCCCCAGTGTGTGATGTTCCCCTCCCTGTGTCCACGTGTTCTCATTCTTTAACTCCCACTTATGAGTGAGAACATGCGGTGCTTGGTTTTCTGTTCTTGTGTTAATTGGCTGAGAATGATGGTTTCCAGCTTCATCAATGTCCCTGCAAAGGGCATGAACGCGAAATTCCTTCTAAATGAACTGTATTTTGATGAACATTGCCCAGTGACTCTTCCTAAATGAGGTTTCTACATGATCTGTTTTTCTTTTCCAAATCAAATCACTCAAGTTTCTCATTATCTCCTGAGTGAGAAATATTTTCCCCAAACACAACCTCAGTCTAGGTAGACACCTTCGTGAATGAGCCTTCACTCTCAGACAGGCACACGCTGTCCCCGTGTGGACTCTTCTCTCAGGCAGGCACACAGATCCCCACATGGTTAAGATCATTTACTGGGACTCTGCCTCACGGGGATCTCTGTTATCACTGGGGCAGGTTAGCATCTCAATCCTCATCCGCACTGTGACCTTTGATGTCTATGGCCTGCCACACCCTCTGTCTGTCCCTCAGTGTCCTGAATGGTGAAGCAGCCCACCTGAGGGATGGAGGAAGATCCCAGATTTCCCTGTGAAGGAGACAGGATGCCAGTCACAGAGATGGAAATCCCTCACATCCCTCCTGGGTCACGTTCTGGGCAGGGTCTCTGAAGGCACTCCTGGATCAGTCCTAAGATGTCTCCCTCTATTTCCATAGGAAGAATCCAGAGAAAGACAAATACGTTTTTCTATTAGGGCATTGTAGAACTTGTGCTTTCTTGTGTGACAGATATAGATATTCTGAATATTTTTAAAATTAGGTATAATATTAAGTCTATCAAATACGTAAATACCTAAACTTCATAATGTATGTCTGCAGGGATGTCTCCTGGAATTTAAAATATATATATATATATATATGCATTTTTTCCCAAGATAAATCTTGGTGAACATTATAAAATTGACTAATATTTATGTTCAAGATTATTATTTCAAAAAAGGTTTAACAGCAGAGACCAGATGTATCTTTTCACCAGAAATTAGTGTAAAACACAGTGAAATTTCTTAAACATGCTTTTAAGATGTGTGACATCAATTAACACAGACAGTGATTGCTGGGAGGGGGAAAATATACAAAACAAGCCCTCTGGTGAATGCACACTCTGATACTTTCTAACGAGAGTTTCCGGGCCACAGTGCTGAAGTGGAACCAGGTAGATCTGAAGTTGAGGAAAAGGAGCTGAGATCCCAGACAGGCCAGGAAGTGTGGAGACCACAGAATAGACAGTGGAGAGCAGAACACTGTTCAGAGAGCGGGTCCCACAGACGGCAGGAGAGAGACCCAGCATTGACAGAGTGCGGCTCAGTGTGAGGGAACCAGGGCAAGTTGTACACGAGAACACACCCTACTACGGGGGGCTTTCCTTAAAATCTAAAATTACCCTAAATTTTAAACGTATTCACTTACAAATTTTAAAATATACTGAAAGACATCACGTTAAATAAAGATAAAGAAAAGGTGGATTTGCAATATTAAAATATAAAAAGTGCATTTCTGAATAAATGATAACACTGATGAGGGGGACAAGTTTATTCCATCATGGCAAATGATTTAAGAGAAGAACATTCCAAATGCTTACGGACCGAATGAGGAAGCTTCAATCACGAATATGAATAGAGTTATCTCATTACCAGAGTGATGTCATGAGAAACTTCAAGCTTTCCAAAGAGACAACCTAATCTGGTAAAAATTATAGAAACTCAACCTGTAATATTATGAAAATTATCCTAAGAACACATAGTAAATGAAATCCATTGATTGACATAATGTGCTACTATTGACTGAATGGTTATGACCCCCATAAGGAATATGTTGGAATCTCAACTCCAATGTGGTGGTAGCAGGAGGCGGGGCCTTTGATCTCATTTGAAAGGTGTTGAGGCTCCATCTCATGAGTGGAATTAGCGCCCTGATAAAATACCCCAGAGAGCTCCCTCTTTCCTTCCACCAGGTGTGGTCATGGTAGGAAGGTGGCCATCTATAAATAAAGAATTGGGACTTCACCAGATACAAATCTCTAAGGCATCTTGATCTTGAACTTCCCAGCCTTGAAAATCGGGACAAATACATTTCTGTTATTTCTGGGCCACCCAGTCCGTGGTATTCTCTCACAGCAGTTCAGTCTCAGCAAGTGCAGTGAGGACCCAGAATACTTGAGAGAAGAGCATTACCCTCTTGTTTACATCTCAGGATCACAGAAGCTTGACCCTGTGCTGGACTGACCAGAATGTGGTGCTTCCCTCTCCGCCAGATCTCAGCTGAGGTCATGGTGTCAGATCTTTATGGTGGAGACTAAATTCCAGTCTGTGATTTGGTGGATGCCTTTCTCCTCCCAGCGTCACTCATGAGACATGGTTTCCATGTCATGTGTTACAGGCCAAGAACAGGTAGACCCTGATTATTCTCACCCCAGCTCACTTGTAGGGCAGAGGTTCTGGGGAGATTCCTGAGAGAAGCACAATGAGAACATAGGAGTCCACCACTCCCATGCCCAGTTATCTGTACTTAAAGCAGGAGTGTCCCTCTGAGATACCCGAACCCTTTCTTCTGCACCAATATGGAGACTGGCATGTTTTTCTAGTGACAGAGGCAGGGCGTAAAAACAGTGAAACGAAGTTCTCTCTAAACGGCGCGACTTGATTTGCAGTTGAATGAGAATAATTTCAACGCTAAAGTTCCTCTAAAATGTTAGCGGTTTTCATGGTAAGTAATTAATAGAAATCTGACAGCTCCAGGAGAGCAATATAGAAATCAATAGTCCACTCATTTTAACAGAGAGAATAAGAGAACCTATAATTTAAGAATTACCAGCTGGGCACTGTGGCACTGCCTGCAGTTCAATTTACTTGGGAATTTGATGTGAGAGGATCATTTGAGCCCAGGGTTTCAAGTCCAGCCTGAAAACATAGCTAGACTCCATTTCTTCAATAAAATCAATAACATTTTGGGGTCAGAAAAATCCTCAAAAATGGTCCCTAGAAAGAAGCCCAAATTTAATTGCACCAGATTGTTGAACGATTTATGTTACGAAACAGTGTCACCATGCCAGAAATGAGCACAGTGTAACATCCAGGTGTCATGTTAAGAGAAACAAACAGTCAAGTAGAACAATCAGGTAATTCGGCTGTCAAAGGCAACACTGCCAAATGACAGCGTTTCCATGGAAACTGCGTGTACATCCAGGACTGCACCTGTGAACGATGACATCATACCCTTCAGAGTGTCGAGGAAAGAGACATCACTCAAACAGACAAGCAAAGGGACTTCAGAAATATATAAGGGGAAATACAGTGTGCAAATACATAAAAATGAAATTAGATGATGACTGCTAAATGAATATCAAGGCACAATTACATAATATGAAATTATATTTTCCTGAATGATAGGGTTACTACCAATCTCCCCTAGGACACTCTCATCTACTATGTGCACAGCCTTCTCCTGAGGCGTCCCACTCTGAGCTTGCTATATAGTAGGAGACATGCAAATAAGATTCCCCTTTTGGGTGATGAAAAGCAGCCCAGCCCTGACCCTGCAGCTCTGGGAGAGGAGCCCCAGCCTTGGGATTTCCAGCTCTCTCCACTTGGTGATCGACACTGAACACAGGAGACTCACTATGGAGTTTGTACTGAGCTGGGTTTTCCTTGTTGCTATTTTAAAAGGTGATTCATGGAGAAATAGAGATGTTGAGTGTGAGTGGACATGAGTGAGAGAAACAGTGGATATGAGTGGCAGTTTCTGACCAGGGTGTCTCTGTGTTCGCAGGTGTCCAGTGTGAGGTGCAGCTGGTGGAGTCTGGGAGAGGCTTGGTACAGCCTGGCGGGTCCCTGAGACTCTCCTGTGCAGCCTCTGGATTCACCTTCAGTGACTACTACATGAGCTGGGTCCGCCAGGCTCCAGGGAAGGGGCCGGAGTGGGTAGGTTTCATTCGAAACAAAGCTAATGGTGGGACAGCAGAATACGCCACGTCTGTAAAAGGCAGATTCACCATCTCCAGAGATGATTCCAAAAGCATCACCTCTCTGCAAATGAACAGCCTGAAAACCGAGGACACGGCCGTGTATTACTGTGCTAGAGACACAGTGAGGGGAGGTCAGTGTGAGCCCAGACACAAACCCCCCTGCAGGGGCGCGCGGGGCCTCCAGGGGGCGCTCGGGACCCACTGAGGACGGGACAGGTCCCAGGAGCAGGTGCAGGGGGAGGTTTCCCTTCTCCTCAACTGGAAAGTCATGTTTGTGTTTTCAGAACCCTGGAGTCTTACAGGTTGTTATATTTTTATACTGTTAATAGTATGTATTTATTATCATTGATATTTAAGTTTTAATTTTAAACCTTTTATGTAGCGCTATTTTTAAAAACTATTTACTTTCATTTGCAGTTATTCTTCCAGAGTTTCATTAACATCTATTGCTGTCAGCAACTACATAGCTACGAGAGCATAAATTTACACCTGTAGACATAGGTCTAAGTACCACAAACCCATGCATAAATGTATAGTGATTTATATTTAACATTATAGTAAAATAATTTTAAAAATATGTCCTAAACGATCAAACTTATTGACGAACTTAATATAAATTATTGGAGTAACGCATAATTGATTTCAAAAATTTTATATTGTTTATATTAATTAATATCTATGTCTTTACTTAAACATAGTATATTGGTCATTTCAAAATAGCTAAGATAAATTTCAAATGGCCTTGACCCAAAAATGAAAATATTTTGAGTTGATTGATATGCTAGTTATATTTAATTATTTCATATTGTATTTATATGTCACAACATTGCTTTGTACCTCATAAATATATACAACCGTAATTTATCAATTTTCAAGACAATTATTTAATCCATCCTAGGTCATGATCTTTTTTCCCCTATCCAGGTCTGATTGGATTGTCCTGAGAAACCCATCCACACGCCTGCCTCCTGCAGGCTTCTGAGAGGAGCTCCATGAAGGCGCCCCGTGTGAGTCCGCACGACCCGGAGCCTCCCTCTCCTTGGATAAGGCCATCTCCTCGGGGTCACAGGGCTATTCCTTATCCTCACCCCCTTGTTGTAACAAACAAGCAACATCACGCTTTAACTCATCACGCTTTGCTTTAATTTTCCCCCCAAAAAATCAAGGTAATAATTTTAGCAATACACATCACAAGCAACTATGAATAAGTCCTTTCCCACATCCTAAGCTTTCTTTTGAGGACTTTACATGTATCATACAGTTTAAATTTCTTTATGAAATGAGATACTAATATCTCCATATTAGAGATTGGTTTTCTAAGTCATTTCTGAAAATTAATTTTTCCAAGGGCCCATACAGATTCTATTAGAAATCCAGGATAAAATTTGAAATTTCAGCAGTAATATCTGGAGAAACATTGAGACTATATTTAACTTAGTACATGTGCTCTCAAATATCCTTATTTCCCTAAAGGTTGTTCTCAGTTATTATTTTACACATGATATTTGTAATTAATACTAATAAGACAGGATAAAATGTTATCTCAATTATTTAACAACTTTTGATAATAACAAAATACATGTTCCACATAGTTTTGACCAGTTTGTTTTCTCTATGAAACACGTGTTTATTAACTTGTCAGATGTCACCCTTATCTTTCTGATTTCTGGGATTTAATTCTAGCAAGTATGGTTGAGTATATTTTATTAATTCATATTATATTGTTCACATTTTCAGTATGGTTTTATTATTTGCATTATTTACTGAAATTTAAACTATTTCTTATACAATATTTTTCAATTTTTTATTTTCATGAGATGTAATTTCAGTATAAGTAATAATGCATAGATTTGCAATGTACCATTATGGGACTTCTGGCAAATGTAAACACACTTGTCCCCAACAGCCAAGGTAGGATGAGGAGGAGGCCCATCCCCCAGCATAAGTGGTCTTCTCTGTGCTTCCAGTCAGCTCCCACATTTAGCACAATGTTTTGATTTCTGCCACTGTAGATTAATTGTTAATGTTTTGATTTTCATATAAATGGACTCAAACATTATAGACCGCTTATCTGGTAAGGGGTTCCTTTTGTTATTTTTGATGTTTGTTTATGCTATTTCATATGTAAAATTGCATCTGTACATTATCATTTATTCACTTAACAGACTACCTCTGATATAAAATCTCAAAGCTTTGATATATATGGAGAAAGAGAGAGGGGGAGAGAGAGAGAGAGAGACAGCGAGAGAGAAATTTTACACTCGAGTCACTCCATTTAGCAATAAATGACAATAAGCTGATCCATTTTCCTGTTGATGCACTTTTTATTTGTTTCCAGTTTATTAACATCATAAGCGAGGCTGCTGTAAATATTTTTTCTATTTATCTTTTCTCATTTTTATTGAGAAAATATGTGGAAATACGCATTTCTTCATCATAAATGTAAGCTTAATTTGTTCGGCTTTATGGAACTATAATTGAAAATGAAATTGTATATATTCGAGGTGCACCACTTGATATTTTGGTACAAACTGAGAAATTTTCACTATGACAAAGGAGTCAGAATGTCTATTACCTCACAGTTACCATTTTTCTTCCTTTAATTTATTATGTGTGTTTCCAGTGAGAACATCTGAAATCTGTCCCTTTACCAGAGATCAAATTTGCAATACAGTGTTGATAGCTCTAGTCCCATCGCTTTACATTAGAACTCCTGAACACATTCAACCTGCACAACTGAAACTTTATGCCCTTGACAAGCATCACTCTGCTTCCCCTCCTCCCAGCCCTGGAAACCACTTTCCTACTCTCTGCTTCTAAGAATTTGAATATTTTAGATTCCACATGTAAATGAGATAATGCAGCATTTGTCTTTCTGTGTCTGGCTTATTCCACTCGGTATAATGTCCTCCAGGCCCATCCAAGTTGTTGGAAATGTTATAATTTCCTTATTTTTAGAGATCATATAATAGTCCATTGTATGTATATACATTTCCTTTATACGCCCATTTACCTATGATCATTAACTTTCAAAAATTCTAGACCATTGTGAATAACGTTGTAATAAACATATTCTTTACTTACTGATTTTATTTCCTTTGAATACACAGTCAGAAGTGGGATCACCAGATCACATAATAGTTTTACTTTCAATTTATAAAATAACCTCTACTACCACTCCACTGAATAATTCCCTTTTCACCAGCCAATTGTCAGCATTTTATCTTTTGTCTTTATGATAATAGTCATGGTAACTAATGTGAGGTGATATTTCATTGCGGTTTTGATGTGGATTCCCCCGATGGTTAGTAATGTGGAGCACCTCTCCATGTCCTGCTGGCCATGCATGTGTCCTCCCTTGAATACAATGTCTGTGCACAATTTTGCCCTCTTAAAAAACAGGTTATTTTTTGCTATTGTAGGGGTTCTTTACACATTTAGATAGATTCCTTTGTCAAATGCATAGTTTCAAATAATTTATTTGTCTGTGATTTTGGTGTCAAATCCAAATAAATTATTTTCCAGATCAATTCCAGGAAGCTTCTTTATTCTCTATTTTCTTCTATGACTTCACAATTTTAGATATCATATTATATTCAAGCCTTGAGTACATTTTTAGGTGACTTTTGTATATGATATGAGATAAAGTCTCATTTTTTTCTGCGTATGGATGCCCAGTTTTTATACCATCTGTTAAAAAGGCCATCTTTTCCTCATTGTGTGTTCTTGGAACACAAAATTTGGCAGAGACACCAAAGAGGAAAATCTTACACCAATATTCCTGAAGATAGACCTAAAAATCTTCAAGAAAATACTAGCAAATTGAATACAGCAGCACGTTAAAAAGTTATTACACTATGATCAAGTAGATTTTATTCCTTTCATGCAAGGCTAGTTCAACATACACAAATCAATAAAGGTGATTCACCACATAAGCAGAATCAAAAGCAAAAACCATATGATTATCTCAATAGATCCAGAGAAACTTTCGATAAGATTCAACATTCTTCATGATAAAATTCCTCAACAGACTAGACATCAAAGAAACTTACCTTAAAGTGATAAGAGCCATATATGACAAACCCACAACTAACATCATACTGAATCAACAAAAGCTCAAATAATTCCCCTTCATAACTGGACCAAAACAAGTATACCCACTCTCACCACTCCTATTCAACATTTTATTGGATGTTCTAGCCACAGAAATCAGACAAGAGAAAGAAATAAAAGGCATCCACACAAGTAAATAAGAATTCAAAGTGTCTCTTTTTGCTATTGATAGGATCCTATGCATAGAAAATTCTATAGACTCTGCCAAAAGAATCCTAGAATTGATAAACAACTTTAGTAATGTTTCAGGATACAGAATAAATATACAAAAATCAGTAGCTTTTTTATACACCAATGACATCCAGACAGAGAGAAAAATAAATGACACAACCCTACTTACAACATCTACAAAAAAAGAAATACCTAGGAATACAGCTAACCAAGGAGGTGAAAGATCTCTACAAGAAGAACTACAAAATTCTGCAGAAAGAAATCAGAGAGGAAACAAACAAATTGAAAAAAACATTCCATGCTCATGGATTGGAAAAAATAATATGCAAAAATGGCAATATTATCCTTCAATTTTTACAGACTCAATGTTATTACTATCAAAATACTGGTTTTATTCTTTGAGAAATATAAGAAAAGTATTCTAAAATTTTTATGTAACCAAAAAAGAACCAAAATGCCAAAGTAATCCTCAACCAAAAGAACAGTGCCAGCGACATCACATTATTTGACTTTAAACTTTACTATAAAGCCACACTAACAAAAACTGTTTGGTACTGGTACGAGAATAAACACATAGACCCATGAAATAGAACAGAAAACTCAGAAATAAAGCTGCACACGTACAACCATCTGTTTTTTGACAACTCTGAAAAAAAATAAACAGCAATGGGGAAAGGACAACCTAGTCAATAAATGGTGCTGGGATAACTTGCTAGCCATGTGCAGAAGACGGGAACTTGACTCCTAACTATCACCACATGAAAAGGAAAATTAACTCAAAATGGATTATAGCTTTAACTAAGACTTCAAACTACAAAAAAGCTAGAAAGACAACCTAGGAATACTCTTCTCTGCATTGGCCTTGGCAAATAATTCCTGGCTGTGAGACTTGTCGCTACACTAGTACATCAGAGTGTTTTT